AGAGGCATCACCACTCTAAGCTTGTCAGGTCTTTGGTGGCATTTCTGAGTAATGTGACAGGAAATAGAGTTGCTCTAGGTTTACTGCATTGTTCCAGTGCAGAGCCCTCAGGGGCTTCTGGTGATCTCTTCCTTCTCTTGTAACCCTTACTCAGGCAGCAAGGATGAAAACAGAGGCTGTGAGTACATCTGTTAAAAAAACAAAACAAAACAAAACTAGGAAAATAGACTTGGTAGATTTAGGTGCCCACCTGGCCTATCAGAAGTAGTTCAACTTAATTCTTTTTAATGGCCAACAGGTCTACGGCCATGCCACACTGAACAAGCCCGATCCCATCTGATCTTGGAAGCTAAGCAGGGTCAGGCCTAGTTAGTACTTGGATGGCAGACCACCTAGGAAGACCAGGTGCTGTAGGCATAAAAAATTTTAAAAAATAAGGGATTGTAAGCTGTCAAGGTCCTTGTAATCTGTGAGGTCAACCAAAAGTTGCCTCACCTAAAAAAATAAAAAAATAAAAATAAATAATGGCTGAACAATTTTATATAACATTCACACATTAAAGTTATTTATTCTTTCCAGAATTGATATACTTTTCAATCCTTTTTTGCTTTTCATTTTTCTAGTGAATATTACTAATATTTCTGTTCTTTGGCCCATTTTTGTACTGGCTCGTCTCACCTTTTCTCAATTATTTCTAGTTCTTCATACATTATTGATAGTGTTCCTTTTTCCTTTTAGGTGTGTCTCTACCTTTTATTTTAAGGCTTTTGATTGTAATTATATTCTTACCTACTTATTTCCCTTGATTTTTACCAATGTGATATGCAAAAGTTGATTATCAATGAAGTTGAATTTCTTATATGTTTATTTGTTGTAAATTTCAAGTAGATATCTTTTGTCCATTTTTGCATGGGCTATTTTTCTATTACTAGTTTGTAGGATTTTTTCTGTATTAGGGATATTAACTCTTTTGCTCATCATTTGCTACAGATATCTTCTCCCGTGTATACACACATATATATGTTATTTATATATATTTGTAACATATATATTTTACATATAACAAAAATTTAAAAATATTTTGTTTTGTCAACTTGTCATATTTTCTTCCATGTTTTTTAGTTTTGTGTCATACTTAGATAATTTATATCTCACTCCAAGATCCTAAATAAGATCATGTAATAAATACACTTTTATAGTTTTATGTAGCAGGTTAATGGTTTCGATTTTTTAGTGTTTAAATTCAAAATTTATTACAGATTTATTTTACTGTGAGGTAAAATCAGGTTCTCTAACCCCCAATAGGGAGTTTTCCTGGTGTAATTTATTGGACAGTTTATTTTTTTATCACTTAATATAACTTTTTTAAAAGGCAAGGACCCTCTAAAGCAGCAGTCCCCAGCCTTTTTGGCGTCAGGGACCAGTGCTTCCATGAGAATCTAATGCCTGATGATCTGAGGTGGAGCTGAAGCAGTGATGCTAGTGCTGGGGAGCTGCTGCAAATACAGATGAAGCTTTTGCTCGTTGACCGCTCACCTTCTGCTGAGCAGACCAGTTCCTAGAGTTTGGGGACCCCTGCTCTAGAGATGAGATAAATGCCTGTCCTTATCCTAGAGTGGCCTGTACTACAGTTTGTCTTATCAACACACTTTTTTATAAAATAAAAGCATTAAACCCCTGTAAAGTAGTCCAAGAACATCTGTTGAGGTTCAGAAGGAAATGTATAACTAATTGCAAGCCCCGATAAGTTAAAAACAGCAAACAAGAATTCTTTACCCTACAAAAGAAAAAATCTGCCAAAATTAAAGCAAAAGAAATTCCTTTGAAGCTAGCTGAATGTTTAGCAGTTTTTATATGCTATATGAGTTCTTCAGGATTTATATTGTTCAGCTTTAACTTGAAAGCAGTGTTCATAACATCATCGCCAGCGAACAAAAGTTATTCTGTGTTTTGAAATACAATTATTCCCTTGATTCCATAAATAAATAATGACTATTTAAAAGCATTTAGCTATATAAATAAACCACTTATTTTAAGTGAAAAGAATGGGTGTATCAGATTATTTTTCTCTAGTTCTTGGAAATGTGAAAATTCTTTACTTTGAGATGGATTTTCAACTTATTTCTACTTGAGATTTTATTTTTGTACACGCTTGCATAAAACTATAGATCCTCCCGTATGCGAAGAGCTTTTTTTTATTGCAGTGATCATAGACTTATGGATTATGAGTTTAGCATTAATTTTAAACCCATGACTTTTAATTTTAAGTATTTTAAACCCATTAAAAAGTAAAAGTATAGTACAGTGAACTCTTTATATACCTTTCACCTGGGTTCACCAATTGTTGACAATTTTTAACTTTTGTTTCGTCTCACATTTCAAGTTCAGATTCCTCTAATTGTCCCCACAATTTTTTTGTAGCATTTTCTTTTTTCTGATTCAGAACCCAGTCAAGTACCATACATTCGTGTGTTTTATTATTTCGAGGGTTTTTTCCAGTTCTTAATTTAGAAAGCTCACCTACTATCAATTTTTTTCATTTGCGACGTTAGCATTTTGAATAATCCAAGCCAGTTATTTCGTAGATTATCCTAAAATATAAATCGGTCTGATTTTGTCTCATGATTAGATTCAGGTTAAATATTTTGGCAAGGAAAATACGTAGGTCATATTGCATCATGTCAGGATACTAATAGCGCCAGTTTGTACCATTGGCAGTGCAAAATTTGATCGTTTTAAGCAACAAATTTATCTATGATAAAGTTAACTCTTACAATTAATGTCATCTATGCAGTGATAATTTGAGGTTGTGTGAATATCCTGTGGTTTTCGCATCCTTTGATAATCCTAGTTTGAATCACTTATTACAAAAATAATTGAAAAATAATTTTTTCCAATTCTATTATTCCTCTCATTTATTAACTATAGTTCATTTACTTCATATTCCAATGAATTATGTAATTTTTACAGTGATTTTTCTCACAATTTTTATGCCAGTAGAGTTAAGTGAAAGTCCATGTGCCATTGTGCTAAATCTTCTGATAGGAAAGAAGATAATATTTTTGTATTGTAAGTGCAGTTTCGTGGAGTTTTTTCCCCATTACAGTTGGCATATAATATTGTATTAGTTTCAGGTGTACAACATAGTGACTAGACATTTATATAACTTACAAAGTGATCACCTTGATTAATCTAGTACCCATCTGACACCATATATAGTTATTACAATATTATGGGCAGTTTCATATGTTAATGTCCCCACACGATTTTCTCTTGAAAATTAATTCATTGTTACTAATTAGATTCAAATAAACCACTTATTACTTTTTTCTCAACTAATGTGTTTTGTATATATCTTTGTTTTTCTAGCCTTTTCTATCTGCCTATTTGCTTATACTAATTTCTTAAAATTAATTTCTGTCGCTATAACATTTGTAACAAATATACATTTATTTCCATCATAATAGCTGTGGAAATACAGAGGACTCTGAATCAACTTGGAACACCTCAAGATTCACTTGAATTGAGGCAACAGCTGTAAGTATTTCATTAAAAAGAAAAGAAAAGGAAAGAATGGGGAAAAACAACTGTTATGTTTCTTTGATAGTGTGTAGTGTATGCTTACTGGAGAAAACAGTGGTGAATTAATAAGGTTCTGCTGCCTTATTTGTACTAAGCTTCTGTGTAAGATTTTTTGTGTAGTAGGCATGTTTTTTGTGTGTGTGTGTTTGTGTGGTTTTTTTTTTTTTTAAGATCTGGCTTACTCTATCAAAGCAGAATTTCTTTAGTTACCTTTCTTATACTTTTTAAATAGGTTTTTTTGATGGTGTTTTACTGTGAGCTTTTCTCTGTGTGTGATTTGCTTTCCATAGCTACAATTCTGCAGTGTTACAGTGACCAGATATTTTATTGGTTTAGATCATTACATATTCAATATGAACTATCAACCCCCAAAACTTAAACCTACATACTTGAATTTCAGAAAGCATTAGTCTCTGTTTAGGAAAAAAAAAAGTTATAATAGTTATATAAGATGTGTTTCTGTAAATTAATACCCTGTTAGCAAAATAGCAATAGTTCTTCATGGTGGTACAGATTTTATAGAATATGTTTATACATTTTCTCAAATGAACCTTATAAAATTGGAGTGAGATAAATAGATCAACAGAACTATTTTCATTTTGCTCATAAGGAAAACATGTCTGTTGGAGGTTTGATAATTTGCCCAGCATCATTCTGAACCTGAATTTTAAATCTTAGTTCAGCACTGTTAACATGTAACAAGTAACATGTATGTAATGAGCTATATGCCAGACAGCATTACCTGTGGAAGGAAAGAAGAGGAAGAAATTAAAAGTTAGGTAGTAATAATTCACATTCTTAAGGAAAAAAAAGAATGTACATTTATCCGTATTACATTTTTCTGTAGTATATAGATACCAGGGTGGTTAAAATGCCTGAAATCTAAATAAATAAACCATTATTTATTGAATTAAAATGAAATAGAAACACATAATGCTTAATAGCTACCATATTTTGCTAAGGTTAATAGTGGAGATTCTGATTATGTACACATCATTAACGTCTTAAGAATTTTAATTATATAACATTTTCTAAAAATTTAAGAAGTCATGTTAAAAATAGAGTACTTCGTAAGTAGATACAAAGAGGTTGTAATTCTTATTAGTAAAATAACAGGTGTCTATACTTAAGCATACTTTTATATAATATCTCATTATTTTAATATGTATTTAATAGGACTAATATGTATTTAATATGAGAGGTATCAGTGCTGTAACTTATAAAGCATCTCATTAATACAAGCCTTTTTTAGTGTCAAGTTTAGTTAGAAATCTTAGTTTTGACTTTATAAGCTAGCTAACAAGATAGATGTAGATTCTGATATAATTTTCCTCTTTTATTGTGTCCTATTCCCTTTATGGGGAAATGCTATTTTTTTTTTCCTGCAGCAAACTTAAATAATAGTAAATTTGTACTATTATTTATTACCTCTTCCTCTCTTTTCTCCCTCCCTCCCTCTCTCTCTCTCTCTCTCTGTCTCTCCCTCTGTATTTCTCTGTATCTCTCTTCCTTTCTCTCTTTCTTTCTCTCTTTCTCTTTCCTTCCTTCCTCCTTCCCTCCCTCCCTTCCTTCCTTCTTTCATCTATAGGATATAAATGCCCAGGTAGAGAAATGTGAGAGGCCAGATGTACCCTAAGACCTGGGAACTGGGCAAAGTTTAAGACAACAAATTCTCTTTGCTTATGACCTCCCAATCATAGGATGCAAGTAAAAGTCTCTCACACTCCCAATACATCATACATCAGATGTCTCACAATCTCATGTTAGCTTAAGTCATCTTCCTTTCTAAATGGCTACTGATAATTATTACTCGAAGCTTGGTTACCCCCTGTGTGAGTAAAGAACTTTCTATGTATTATTTACTCAGTATTTATCAAAGAATAGAACCTGAAAAATTTATTTTCATAGAGAAAATTTGGAGTCAATCTATAAAAAAGTGATTTTTATAAAACTATTCATCAAGGTCGATTCAAATGACAGAGTTGGAGCTTAAAGAAATAGATTAGTTCTTTGGCTATAATGCGTGTTTTCTCACTTTAGGCAACAGAAGCAGCAGTATACTAACCAGCTCGCTAAAGAAACAGATAAGTACATTAAAGATTTTGGATCTCTGCCTACCACCCCCAGTGAACAGGTATTAAGCTTTAAAACACATTGTTGATGTATTGAATGTGAAAGAAATCAAGTGCATTGTAGTGTCTTTGAACTGTTACGCTAGAAAGGAAAGTAGGGGGAATATTCTGTTTGAGATTAGCTCACAGGACACAAAACTATATTTAATTGCCCAGGTAGTATCCTGTGTGATTCAATAAAGCAAAAATTATTTCCATACAGTTGCCTCACCCATAATTAAGTAAGTGCTCAGCACATGCTTCCTGAGTAGTTGTTTCCTGGCCGTCCAGGACGGACTTCATGAGACATGCACACTCATTCAAGATGTGAGGTTTCCTAGGGGCACATATTTATTTTCTTGCTCACTTAGTAGACATTTTTAATTAGACAAGAGTATAAGGTTTTATTTTCCTTAAAACAACAACAACAACAACAACAACAAAACTACTTTAAAATAACTTCAAAATCATGGCCCAGATTTTAGGGTGAAAATACGAGATAAGAAATTCAGCATTATGGACCTTTTGCCTCAAGGTAAATTTACACAGTGTTTGAACATACTGTCAAAATGTTATTGAGAGTTAATTAGTAAGGCCCTGTAATTGGAGAGTGAGTGAATATTTCAGAATTAAAGAGCTAGCTAGTGGTGAAACAACTTTTGCAAATTCTGTTGAACTTCACAGCTTGATTCTAGTAGGTTTTTATTCCCCTTTCCTCTAGCGTCAAAGGAAAATACAGAAGGATCGCCTAGTAGCTGAGTTCACAGCGTCACTGACAAACTTTCAAAAGGTCCAGAGGCAAGCTGCTGAGAAAGAGAAAGAGTTTGTTGCTCGAGTGAGAGCCGGTTCCAGACTATCAGTAAGTATTTAAAAAGGCATTTTAAAAATGAACACAATATTCTCTAAGGATCCCTTAAAACAGCAGTCCCCAACCTCTTTGGCACCAGGGACCAGTGCTCCTATGAGAATCTCATGCCTGATGATTTGCGGTGGAGCCGAGGCGGTGATGCTAGCACTGGAGAACGGTTGCAAATACACATTAAGAATTCCTCATTTGCCTGCTGCTCACCTCCAGCTGTGTGGCCTGATTTCTAACAGGCCACTGACCTGTACCCGTCCTCAGCCTGGGGGTTGGGGACCCCTGCCTTAAAAGACCACATTGGCATGTTTTTTTAAGTTATAGAGATTTGTGAACATCTTGGGAATTAGTATTAGAATATTTTCAGGTGTTTCTGTTCAGTTTTTAAGAAGGATGATAGTTATGTAATTCTGTATTACTGTGGTTATTTTGTCCATATCATGGAACAAAATATTATAAATATAAATTATATAAAAATATAGAAATATTTTGTCAGAAGTGATTAGGGGTCAAATTCGAACTAACAGTCTCACATTTACTTGAACTTAAAGCTGTTACTTTGTGTTCATGCTAGTGTAGAGGGCACTTTACTCCTGAGTTGTATAAAAATAATGGAAATTAAAAAGAGTGAATATATTATACAAATATTGAAGAATATTCACCTTAAGTAATATAACCTGTAGAAAGTAAACAAAAGGATAATTCAGAGTGGAATTTTGACTTACTCTAATTTCAGATTCCCTTAGAAACTATCACAAGTTGTTTTCTTGTTCTTTAAGGTACAATTCCCAAGACTATGTACATGTTAATTAAATAAAATGTATTATTTGGCTCTTAGGAATGCTTAATGAATACCTCCCTTGTCATCTTAAATATGGTTTTAGTATTATTTGAAGTAGTTGACCTAAAATACTAGAACAAGAGTTTTTTTCTCTACACATATATTCACATGCATAAATAAATCAGTCTTGATTGTTATAAGGAGTACTGTGAGTGTTATGTGTTATTCCTTTGCCCCTACTCAATCTATTTTATTACCAAATTATTCAGAGTGCTTTTCCTGAGGAGACTGCAAAAGAAAGGAATCTTGTATCCTGGGAAAGGTAAGAACTATAAAATATTATATAGATCAAAAGATACTTTTTTCAATAAGTTTTATACATTATGGTCTCTGGAACAGAATTAAAGCTTTCAATATATTATATCATTTCTGTTATCTTAAGTTACTTATAAATAGAAAACAATAAATTTGAAAAATTTGAAAAATCAGTACTTAGTATAAAATATAAATATATAAAATATTCCAGTATAGGAATAATACTTTATAAATAATTTTGTTCAAACAAATATTATTGACTTAATTGTTATTTGATATAGATTATGCCTTTGTGTGAGGTTTAAGTCCATGAACAAGAAATAGCAGCCACCCAATACAGCTTCGATTAAATAATAACTACAAAAACACAGTGTGTGAAATGACTCATGAATAAAGTTGACTGGTATTTCTGTTATATTCTTAGAATTTAGTTATGAGCAATTCTTTGACTTTGAAGGAAAATATTCTACTTAGTATTTTTTAAATAGGAAGTCCTACTTTAATAGTCTTTTTTCCATATTCTGTTATTTTTATTAGCCAAACTCAACCTCAAGTACAGGTGCAGGATGACGAAATTACAGAGGATGACCTTCACCTTATTCATGAGAGAGAGTCTTCTATTAGGCAACTTGAAGTAAGCTTTACATTATAGAGTTGGGCTGCTGCTCTGTTCTGAGTGAGTTTATCCTTAAGATGCTTAATTTGGTGGCGTTTCTCATATAAATTAATTTCTTTTTTAAAAAACAGTCTCCTTAGAATTTGATGAGAGAACATACTTTCCTCCACTCAGTTTTTTAAAATTCTGTTAAGTCATCTCAGGTCACCCTAGCACTGAGAGAAACAACAATCTAAAGATAAAATGTTAGGCGAGTCTGCATGGCTACGTGGCACCTGATACACATCACACCTGCATGAATAAGAATTTTTACAAGGGCTTTAGAAGTTTTTTATTTCTCTTTAGTATGTTTATGACATCAAAGAAATAGAAAGCCTTAGTTCTTATGACACCAACGTATTCCCTAAAAGGTGGGCTACTGATAGCTAACAATAACTGCAATTTATTGAGGGCTTCTGTGTGCCAAATACTATGTAATATTATAAACTCTATCTTAATTGTCTCATTTAATTCTCATAAAAACTCTGTGAAGTGATTAACTCTGTCATTATCATTGCCATTTTACAGATGAGGAAACCAAGGCATAGGATGAATATGTAAATTGCCCTATGCCTCCTGAATAAAATAGTTTAACTTGACTCTTTAATCAGGCAAAATAATAGTTATTATATATTGAAGGAAAGTAAATTTATAACTTCTTTATCCATCACTATTTCATTGCATATTCAAGTGTATAAAATAAGACTTTAAATTTTCACCTAATGTTCTATTATTTTAAATTATAAAATTGATGAATACGTTTTTACTAGAAATAATTATAACAAGAGTATTTTATACCTTTATTATGGGAATACTCTTGTGCTAATAAAACTGATCAGATTGTATAACATAAACTCAGTAACCATAGCCCTTTCCTAATGTAGATCTTTCATTATCATACTGCCTTGCTTGATATTTTTAATGCCACAGACTTATTTTAGAGAACTGGTTACTGTTATTCAAGGTCTACTTACTTGGGATTGCTTGTAGTAAAATAATTTTGCAATATTCCAAAATATATGTATTAAGTCTATGAATGTGTGGTGGTTTGGGTTTTTTTCCCCCCTGTTGTGGATTGGGAACTGAATTTCTGATTATAAAACTATATGTCTTTTTCTCTTAGGCTGATATTATGGATATTAATGAAATATTTAAAAATTTGGGAATGATGATTCATGAGCAAGGAGATGTGATAGGTAAGCCCAAGCCCTACTGATTAGATTTTTTGAGGTGTGAACAAACTACATGCAATTTATCTTTGGTAACTTCTCAAGGAAAAGTCACTGCTTCCTCTTCTTTTTGGCCTCTCTGGAATCAAAAGCACAGTCTACAACAAAACAGCAACCTTTGGCTTTATCTAAAACAGATCTCATTTTTGGCTCCTAGTGGTTGAAATGATCATTTTCATTTATTTCAGAAGCCTCAAATTTCTTCAGGCTTACTGCTGCTGAGATCATGGAAGGCACCATGTAACATTATTCTAGCTTATTTCCAAGACCTCTGGTTTTCGTCTTTCCCCAATTTAATTGTCATCACAAGGACTTTTTGGGAAATGTGTACTATTTATAATTGTGCATGTGATCTTACCTATTGGATTAGAGGGAATAGGCCGCCATTTGCTCATTCATTTTAATAGCTTATTGGTAGATTAGTAGTAGTACTTAGATGCTAAGAATTTTTTTTTAAATTCTTTAAATCAGTGACTAAGACTTCTTTTAAGTTTTAAATGTAGTAGTAATTCATATAATTATCAGGATTGATCAGGATCCTGATTATTTTTATCATTTTGAAATATGAAGATGTCTGTGGCTATGTCTAAAGTTACGTTTAATGTGTTTTCCGAATTTGTTCACTTTAACTACTTGGACATACAGTTTAATATAACTATCATTTGTCAGTTCTTAGCCTTTTCTGTCACCCCAGAAGATCACAAGGTAAAATTTTGAAAACCATTTATGCATCCAACAAATATTTATTGAGTACCTGCCATATCCAGGCAGAAATCTAGGCATTGAGGATTCAGCTGAAATTAAACAAGTAAAAGACCCTGCCTTTATAGATCTTATAATCTAATCGGAGGAGAGGGACAGTTAAAAGAAAGAAAGAAAAGTAAGTAAATGGTGATAAGTGCTAGAGGGAAAATAAGTTTAAGGTATGGGGATGGGACTGCCGGTAGTGGAGGATGTCGCTGCTATACATAGCGTAGTCAGGCAAGGCCTTACCGACAGGTAACATTTTGGTGAAGACTTCGTGTTGGTAAGGGAGCAAGTAAGAGAAAGTGCTCCAGGCAGAGGGAGCAGCAAGTGCAAAGGGCTTCCAACAGAAGCATGCCTGAAATCTTTGGTGAGTGAAGTGAGGAAGAGGAAGAATGGGGATGATGTCAGAAGTCACAGGGGAGATGCCCTCGTGGGATCCTGAGCCACTGTGAGGGCTTGTGTTGTTGTTGTTGTTTTTCATTATTTATAGATGGGAAGCCACAGAAGGATTTGAGCAAAGGAGCATTGTAATCTGACTTAGGTTTTAATACTCACTTTGGCTGCTAGGTTGAGAACAGACTGTAAAGGGGCAAGACCAAAAGCAAAGAGACCACTTAAAAGGCTATTACAGGAATCCAGGTAAGCAATTATATTGCCCTGGATCAGATGGAAGCAGTGAAGTGGTGAGAAGTGATGGAATTCTGGATATTTTTAAAATGTAGAGCCAAAGATATTTATTGACTAGCTGAGTATGGATATGAGAGAGTTAATTCAAGGATAATGCTAAGGTTTTGGCCTGGCCCACAAAAGTAATGGTGTGGCCATTTTCTGAGATGAGGAAATCTGTAACTGGAGCAGGTTTGGATAGATATAAATCAATCATTTTGGGGTATGTTAAGTTTGAGGTGCCATTTGACACCCAACTGAAGCTTTGATAGGCATTGAACATGGAGTTCAGGAAAGTAGTCATCTGCACATAGATGGTATCTAAAGTCACGAGATTAGGTGCAGTCACCTAAGAAATATGTCTAGATAGAGAAGAGAAGGGATCTGAGAACTTAACCCTTAGTCCTATAAATATTTTGAGCATGGTTGGCAAACTGCATCCATACGTTTATGTGTTTTCTATGGCAGCTTTTGTACAACAGAGGCAGAATTGAGTATTTATGACAGAAATCATATGAATTTCAGAATTTAAAATATTTGCCCTCTGCCCCTTTACAGAACAAGTCATTGACCCCTGACTTAGAACCCAGAGAGCCGAGGAGGAACCAACAAAGTGACTGAGAAGAAATAGCCAATGATTTAGAGGAAATCAAGTTAATATATTGTTTTAGAATGAGGTGGAGAAAGTACTTCAAGAGTGATGGCTGGTCAGCTGTTTCAGATGCTGCTGTTAGGTTAAAAAAAGTGAGGATTTAGACTTGACTGCTGAGTAGAATGGTGTGTAGGGCATAGGTAACCTCGGATGAGAACTGTGTTGGCAAAAGCATGATAAAGCAGCCTCAAGAGAAAATAGGAGGAGAGCTTCTAGAGATAGCAAGTGTAGACAACTCCTTTAAGGAGTCAAGCTGGAAAATGGAGCAGAGAATAGTCATAGCTGTCAGTGGATGTAGAATAAAGAAGAGGTCTTTTGGTTGGTTGGTTTTTAGATGGCGGCTATAGGTTTCATGGGGATGATGAATAAGGGAAAGAAATATGGTTGATAAGTGAGAGAGGAAACTCGCTGGCTGAGATCTTTGAGTTAGGTGACAAGGAATGCGATAAAGCGCACAGATGGAGGAGAGGTCGGCTTTTGCTGAGAGCATGGACGGTCCCTTCCTAACCACAAGAGAAGTCAGACAAATATATTGTTGCATATAGTTGGTGGGTAGGGTCAAGGGAGAATGTGGAAATGTCTTCTGATTGTTCCTTTTGTCTTAGTGATCTAGAATCAAGATCACTGGCTGAGAATGACAGTGCATGAGGAGGCATGAGAAGTTTGAGGAGAAAGGAGAAAGTATGGCAAAAATTATGACATAGTCCTCCAGGAGTTAGGGCAATGAGGTAGGCTTGCTTGGCAGTCACAAATTTAAAGTGAAATAAGTCAGCATAGGTTATTCTTTTTTCGCATCAATGTTCAGCTGCATGGGGCAGGTTGGGTTTTGTTGTGTAAATATGACTAAAGTATAAGGGCAAGGAAGCTGAAGATGAATGCAAGAAAGTGATGTGAAATGATCGCCCATGGGATCCAAGCTAGATAAGGAGGGAAGTGAAGACATGAAGCGGTGTAAGAGACAGTGAAAAAGTTCTAGGATCTGTGAAGTCTGGGTGTTAGAAAGAGTGAACTGTAAAGATAGGTGGTGATCAGACAGAGGGGCTTGGAATTGAGATTGTAAAGAAGCTACAGTTATAATGACAAGGGTAGCAGGCAGTCTTTGAAAAATGTGCGCTCAAGGAACTGAGCGGCCAGGGCATTAAAAGGTCAGCAATTGGATACTGAAATGGCCAATATGTCTAATAGGAAAGGAATAGAAGAGAACATCAGTGAGTTGGGGCTAAAACATTCAAGGAAAGAGAAGAAAAGACCTTGAGATCTGTAGATAGATGTATGCAACGAGGAGGGGTGGATAAGTTTGATAGCAGGGATATTAAAACTGAGCGTCGAGACTGTCAAAACAGACTGAGAATGGGTCCAAGTGAGTCTCTTAAAACTGAGTTGAAAGTGTGTCTGAAACCTGCAGTGGTCTCATGCTGCAAAGCCACACTTGTTCCAGGCCATAGGAGAATGAGATGGAGAACTGTCACCACTTGGGAAGGCTGTATGGGCCCTCAGGGAGGGCCGGGTTTCAGCTCAGAACTAGGTTGATAAGAGCCCCAGAGCAAATGATGTTTTTGCCTAAATACATGTTTAGCCTAAATAAAAGTCCAGATATTGATATTAATCTCTGAATATTGTAATATGTTTAATCTTACATTGAACAAAATCTAGTGATTTGTGCAGCTCTGCCACTGTAATATCAATACATGTTTAATAGTTGTATATGTGTCTTTTACCTTAAAGATAGCATAGAAGCCAATGTTGAAAATGCAGAGGTGAATGTTCAGCACGCAAACCAGCACCTGTCAAGGGCAGCAGAATATCAGGTAATATTAACTAATAAATTTTGTCATAACTCAGACCTTGTGTGTGTATGTAATCAGATTTAAAGTGGCTGGAGATGTTAAAGTCTCATCGAAGACAGGTCAGACGTAAAGCAATCAGTTTAAAACTGGATTTAGCCTGATTATTCTCAGAGTTGAACCAGAATGTGGCCCACGGGGATAGGAAGTTTAATATTTAGAGGCCTGAGGGGAACAGCGGAGAAGCCTGGACTTTTCTGACAGCCTATAGTGTCACTGTGACATTCTAACCTAGAAACCCCTTTGATAGCCTTCTCTGTTTCCCACCGTTCCCTTCTACATTTTCTTCCTTTTTTTGGTCAATGACATTATGGATAAAGAAAAGAGGTAAAGATTTTTGTCTTAGATCTCTCAGGTCCTAGGGAAATTATATTCGCTTGGAGTGTCCCTGACCATTAGGATTCTGTCAG